TTTTTTTTTTTTTTTTTTGCAATTAATCTAATTTTACAGCAACCATCTTAGTTTTCTTTGTTTTTTAAACAACAGTCAATGCCACAGTTAGTTCACTGTCATCATACATATGGGATTTTAAGGATTATTACTTATTATTTGAAATATTAACAAAAAAGAAAATAAAATAAAACATCTCTTTGCTTTAAAATTTTATTTAACTAGATCTTAAATACATGCTTAAAAAAGTCATCAAACACTTTAAAAGAGGATATGAACAATAATAAAAAAGTTAATTGACCCAATAGCCAATAAGGATTAATCTTTTTACTAAAAATATGATTATATAGAAAGCTATCAAAAATATTTGCCATTAAAAGGACACAGATCTGTAGTTTGAAAAGGTTTATGAAACATTAGCCTAATTCTCAGTACGTCTACTCCTCCATGATATTGTAAATTGCACATTAAAGTACAATCAAAGCAATCATCTTTACTAAATTAATTCTAAAATCGTTTTTAAAGATGTCCGTGTTTTTAAAATCACAAATATAAACCGTCTAACTTATTATTTTTTTAATTACTAAAAAGAAAATAAAGTAGAATTTCGAATGACCCCTGAAGGCAGCACCCCTGAGGAGCCAGCTGTACCCTATATGACTGATTGGCTTCAACTGTCCGGGTTTTTGTTTAGTAGAAATGTCGTTTGGAGAGCCACACGTTTCTACTTCGTTTTGGTCAGTAATTAATTGTTGAACTAACTTATTTATTTTTCTGAAACTTGGGGATGTTTATTTATTTTCATTCCTCTAAGTGTTTTATTTCCCCATGTGAGTCGGAGCGAGAACGTCATTAAAAAGAATGGAAGGTAAATATTTGTTTCCACCTTAAACTCCAATTGGTAATATTACAGAAATATGATGTAAACTCATATTCTTTCTTTAGATCCAAGCAAACAGACTTCCTCATTTGGCAGTGGAGCTCAACGAGGTCCCCATCCCAGGCCCTTTTTCTATGTTCAGCCACCTTCTCAGCCTTATTGTCTCTACCAGCCCTGGCACTTTACAAACCCATACAACCACTTTGGGCTGCCTGCAGGTATTAAATCAGTTACATGTATATTGTGCATTCAGTGGGTTTATGATGCAGAAAAGTTATACTCTCTTTATAGGTTTTAACTTTGGCCGGCCTAGCTTGCCTCCTTATCCCTATGTGCCGTACCCTGGCTTTGTTTTACCACATGCTCCCATACATCCCATGGATTACAGGCGGATGTTTGAACCCAGATACCAGGCCTGGGGCGATCTGCCTCGCCAACAGTACAATCCACAGCCTCAGGGGCGGCGTGAGACTGCCTGTTTTGGGGCTCAGACCGACCCCAGTGATGCGATAAGTAAGCTCATCGAGTGCCTGGATAAAATCCGAGCCACAGAGCTTCAGAGCGGCGACAGAGAGCTAGACTCTGGAGTTGGCTCCCAATCCTTTGGCATCTTTTCTGCCGTAGAGGAAAAGAAAACTAGAGAGCAGGATCAGGCTCCTCTCCCCCATCGCAGCTGTCTAGAGTCCCCAGGCGTGACCTCAATCGACTCCAGGGCAGCTGTTTACGACAGCGAGTCCAGCAGAGTTATTTTGGACCCTTTGAGCCCTGAGGGAGGCTGGATGGGAAGACTGGAGGAGGAGCTGCCTCTGGACAGTTCTTCTGTCCATGAGGAATGCCCCCATCAGCCGGTACCAGGCGAACACTTTCTCTCTCATGAGACTGAAGAAGTCTCGGATATTCAGTCAAATGTCTTGGTGACTGATTCAAGTGCTCAAACACGTGATGCGGAGAAGGACCAGAAAACCGTACCCTCAATTCCCCCCAATCAGCTGGGGCTGTCAGAAGCTCATAATGGTGATGGACCTTCTTCTGTCTTAATGGCAGAAGGTGATATGACGACCTGCTCTCCAACCAAAGCTGATGAAAGTTACCAGATCCCCACACTCCCTGTTGATGATGTTTTGAGAACTGCAGCACCTTACTACTGCAATTACCTCCCCATGCAGACTACTCATGAGCGCATGAGCGTCCTCAGTCCGTCTTTAGATGAACTCTCTTCCAGGGATGAAATGTTTTCTACAGATCTAGACGACGCGGATCTCTACCCAAAGCATGTCTACCCTGGTCGAAGACTTTCAGCGGTTGTTGGTGGGTCTCCAACTGCATACGATGAAGAGGATTCATGGTTGCCAAAGAGGGTTGTCTGTGCTTGTTGTGGGAAGAAGCTGGAACAAGGGACAAGCAGGAGAAAGGTCCATAGCTCCAAGGTGTATCACGATGAAGCTGGAGACTCTGAAGAGGAGGGCAAATATGGAAGAGGGTGTGACGAGCCAATCAGAGTGGTGGTTAGGAAGCATTCTGGACCCAGGAAGGCTCAACCTGTCCACAGACACGCAGCTAAACCTCGCTACATTAAAGGTCAGTACAAAGAGCTGTCTGAGCCAATGAAGCAGGAGGACAGTCATAAAGAGTGTCACCAGGCACCTGCTCAAGCAGAAACGGAAGAGTTGGAGCTGCAGTGTCGAACATGTCTGGGTAAGTTAGTCTGGATATTTGATTTTTGAAAAAACTTGAAAAACTGCTACGATCAGATAAATCTGTTCTCAGATGGGCAGTGCAGAGCAGACCTGACAACAGGCCAGGGCCGATGGACGGAGGGAGACGTGGTTCCCCGCAGAAGACATACCGTCCCTTTGCAGCGAGGTAACTTATTTAATTTTAACTACTGGTAGCTCAAAACAAAGATATACATCCCAGTTTAATCCTGCTTTAGACTCAGTTTTTCAGTCCTTTTGTTGTTTTAAAAAAAAAAACGTTTTCTTGCATGACATGAAAGAAATCAAAATCTAGATAAGTAATCTTTTCTTAAAATAAGTGCTTTTGTTCTTTTGAAAATTGAACAACACAATTTACATTTAAAATAAGAAAACAATCTCATAATCTCATAATCTCTTTCAAGTGCATGTTATCTAATTACCTTATTTTGAGAGTAAAAATACTCATTCCATTGGCAAACTGGTGAGGTCATGAGTTGCCATACACTTGAGAAATGAATGAGGTCATTTACCTACTCAAAATAAGGATTAAAAACACTTAATCTAACAAATTTAGTACTTATTTTTAGATTGTTTTTC